TTCAAAGATTCTCCGCCTCCCCCCCCCCCCCCATGCATCATTTGGCGAGTCCCCCGAATGCTTACAGTAATTATGTGCGTGCAGTGAAAGGAGACTGTTACCTCTTAAACCAAAATAAATGAATATGTGATCTTTGTGCTAGTGTAGCAGTGAGTAATACAAAGAATCACAGACATCCTCCCTTTGATCTCCCAAAGATACAAACAGCAATTAAGATTACAAGCCGCTCTAAAAAACCAGAATATTGGGAACATTCTGTAAGGGGAAAGTGAACGCTTCACAGAGTTTTTCAGAAAATCAGTCAAGGAAGGGGAACCCTTTCTCGTTTATCTTGACCACAGGCCCTTTAATCGCTGTAATGTGGATATCCTCAACCTGCCCGGCCACAAGCAGGTTGGCGGGGCTTCTGAAAATCGTTCCCTGTTTCTGGGATAGTGTTTAACAAGAAGAGGAGTAGCTCTGTTTCAAACTGAAAGTCAAACTGAAGTCAAACGGAAAACGCGTTGTCTCAACCACATCCTTAAATACACTGGCCTCAACAAGAAAATAACCCCGGCGCTGGCGTTGCGCGGTGATCTTAGGGACAGGTGTCAACATTCGTTTTTCACCTGAAAACTGAGGATTCTTGCGGGATTTCCACCGCCCGCCTGCCATCTAGGAAATCATCTGATCTGGTGGCTGCTGCTGCTGCTGCTGCTTTCGGTTTTGGGAGGAGGGCAGAGAGGAGAAACGAAACACGGCGCAGGAGCGGGAGAAATGAAGAGTCTTTCACGCTTCAAACGGGAGAGTTAAGAGTTTTGTCGTTGAGTCTACTGGAGCGTGGAGGGACCTGTATCCCTGGTGGGAGTTCAGAAGTCCTACTGTCACACTGTCCGAATGAGCCAAACAGTCATTTTTTAACTCCAGTGGATTTCTGAAGTGATACCAGTGAAATACCTCGGACATACCTCGCTGTAAATGTGATTAGCAATCAGCTGGTATTTTCACAAGTATAACTCTAATCATAAATCTTTCCCCGCAGAATTGTTCTGTGAGATTACCATCTCGGGATTTTGGCTGGGACATTAATTTTTGGTAGGTTCTGCATTCTTCCTCTTGAGTCAGCAGGTGAAGTATGTGGTTGTGGCCTGCTCCAGTGGAGTTGCCCGCGTTTGTCGTGCCACAGGGTTGCCATTCCTGGGGGCCGAGGTCCTCGTGCCAAAAGTATAATGTCACCCTGCTGGAATCCCACCCACGTGTGGCGCTGGGCAAAGTCTTTTTTGTTAATGGATGAGTAAAATTTCAGCAGGCTTTTGTTGTCATCACGAGGTAAGTAAGAGGGATTTGCATCTGAGCTGGCACATTTTCCATAAGCAGTTTCCAGGGCTAATTTAAGTCAGGTTGGCACGCAGATCTTTCCTTGAAGCCCAGCCCAAGATTCCGAAGCCTCACAAGAGTTTTCCATAGGAAAACTCCCGGTATCTGTGTGCCAGACGTGCCCGTGTGGCATTTCCCGGAGCATCAATGCCCCACTGTTCTAACACAGAGTCCATTGCCCGTCCTGTGACGTCCCCCAGACACCTTGCTGTGGAGCTGATTGTTTCTATGCTAGAAAAATAGGAATTTAGATCCCCTCATTGTCAAACATCCGTGGACTCGATGCAGCGATGGCATGGGCCAGTTGTAACAGAAACAGCACACAACTGTCCCCATTTTACTTTGCTGGTTTGTTTTGGAAGGGCTGGGGCACCTTGGTGTTTCCTTGTCTGAGGAGCGATGGTTTAGCCCTGCATTTAACACCTTTTCAAGGGGGATCTTGTTGTGGAGAAGACAAACCCTTAAGCATCGTTGGGGAAGGTTCAAGGCCCATTTACAAGAAAGCACCCAAGAGAAGGGGGTTGTGGTAGGCAAATACACGGTATCGTTTCTTTCACAAGCATGTCATGATATATTCTGTTCATATATTACTTGTATTTCTTTACAGGACGTGCAGCAAGGGGATGTTTATTCTGATGAAAGTCTAGGCTTGATAACAGGAAACCAAGTCCTTTGTGCAGTAAATTGACCTTGAATCACTCACAGACCTTTTTTTTTTTTTCAGTAACAGAGGGTAAGACTGTCTAAAAGACAGGAAAATGGTGTCTCTAGAAAACAAAGTGGCATTTTGAGTTGGCTGGAGTCTACCCCGGCCTTTGCCAGCCTCGGAGCCGTGAATGTCAGCCCAAGCAGGTGGTGGAGACGCTGCCGTGGGGCAGGCACTTGTCAGGAGAGCCAGGGGGACAGTTGCTTTTTGTCCCTCAATACCTTTTCTTAACAGATCACTCCAACCTGCAAAAGGAAACTGGGTGTCCCTGTTGGGTGAGGGTCAGCACTGGGATGCAGAGACCTCTCTGCCCTGAGGGGGGGAGTTGTTGAAGAGCTTCCTCCCTTCCACTCTTCCTCCCCATAGAGACCTATGGCCTCTGGGGCAGGAACCACCTCCCATGAGCCTTTGCAGGAGATGCCATTACAGGGCTTTGATCTTGTCAGATGTTTCTGGATGCTCCCACAGCATTAATAAAACAACATAACGGGATGGAGTGTTATACATGACCAGTATTTCCAGAGCAAAGGAGCTTAGCTTACACACTAAAAAAGGCTATTTTTTTGG